ATAGTAAAATTCTCGAGTATCTAGAAACTTTCTATTCAGCGGCCAATCGACACGCTTGAAAAATTTGTCGTACGACAAATGTAATAGTACCCTTTCACTGGATCCGAATATCCCGATATCCGGCGTACGACGTTCGATATTCAATATCGGTTTATACCTTTAGATTCAACAAGGACCCAAAAGTAAAAACCAATCATTTGTCGAATTTTGTTAGCTTGTCGGGAGTTCAACGAAATAAACTCCTTGGAAGCTTCTTTATCGAATTTTATAGGTTTTCCAGGAGCTCAGCGAAATGAACTCCCTAGAATCTTGTTTTGTCAAATTTTGTAAGCTTCCCGGGAGCTCAGCGTAACGAATTTCTTGGAAGCTTGCTTTGCCGAATTTTGTAAGCTCCCCGAGAGCTTAGCGAAATGAACTCCCTAGGAGCTTAATCGGAGCTTTGTGCTGTGTGGATGGTATGCCCACTCTCTGTCGTCCCTTTGACCTTTTTGGTTTTAATCACGTGGTATTCCATTACTTCGATTTGTGAAATCCTTAAAAAATTTTTATGGATATCTATTAGATCTCGTACGGCGGACATTTAGATATCTAAAACACATCTAACGGATAATTATTAGGTATTCGTGGATATCCTTAATATCTGTCGTGGATATTCAATAAAATTTGCCAGTTGGGTTGACAATAAGCTATTTAAATTAAAATTTTCGATATACTTTATTGATTCACATTATTATATATACTCTTATACAAATAATTATATGAGAAAAAGCTAATTTATTTCGATATACGTTGCGAGAAAAAGTTTACACAATTTTTTCGTGAGACTAAAAGCCACAAAAAACCGAACTGCAGATTCATATGGTAATGAAATTACGAATTTTGATCTCCATCAATATCTTTAATTATATAATCATAAAACAATATTTGAAGAACTTACTATGAAAATCCGCATTTTATATTGGACCATCAGAAGTACACATATTATGTACAACTCTTTTTATCATAGTAAATTTTATACTAGCCGTCGTTTACATCTGCTTGAACTTGATCCAATTGTACTTCTTCTTTCTCCTCAGTATGATCGTTATCAAAATTCTCCTTTATTACAGATTGCATGGCAATATCAGCATTATCATTAATTGCAGCTTCAATATTATGTTCCGGATTAGGATCTCGATTTTCTTCACCCTCCTCTATTAAACGTGGAGCTTCTACAGTATGCAAAGACGAAGATGCCTCAAAGTTTTGAGTTGGATGCTTGCCTAATCCTATCTGCATCTCTATTACACTTAATTCTTCAACCAATGCCTTTTCTCTTCGCTCGATTTCCTCTGAAATAATACAAAAACACTCATTTATACCGCATAAATTTACATATATATTTACGAGAGTACTAACCATAAAGTTCTTTTGCGGACTGTTCTAGCAACACATCCGTCTGTGGATGTTTACGCTTTGGTACATAATAAATACAAGGTTGCGTGTGCGTTTTTATAAAAGAAGCGAGAGGCAATTGTGCATTACGCCAATCTTGAAACTGCCGACTACGTCCAAGCTTTGTTTCCAATACTCGAACTTCAGCTAGTTGTCGTTTTCGTGACAAAAATAATTGTTGTCTCTCTCGTCGCAATTCTTCTTTCTCTCGTCTTCTAGCCTCCTCTACTCTAGCTTCTACTTCTGCCTTTTTATCTTCCTACAATTGAGATTATACATATATTTCAATGATAAATACTTCTCTAACTATTCAATACACCTAATACGCTTTACCTTTGCCTTTAGTTTAGTTTCCTCCTGTCTAAATTTTTGTAAAGTGCCCAAAAGTGCGCCAAACATGCGTTTATTTCTTTGTCGACTACGTTCATCCGTTCTTTCTCGTCTGATGACCTCTTGACGCGAAGGAATTTCTCGAGGAGTGGCTATTACTCTGGACGATACAGCAGGCTTAATAAACATCAAAATATATATTAGTTTGCCTTAAATTGTATACAAATGTTAGAATACACCAAGGAACATATGAAATTATACTGGAGGAGTCGAAATATCTAATTTCAAAAATAGTATAATTTGATCCCTTTAAATAAATCTAAAAGATAAAATAAATTATTTTGGGTAATTATTTAAAATACAGTCTCTACCTCGAATATCGAGAAAATTATGCTCGTTGGACGCGTTTTGATACGAAACGAAAGAATCTGGCAGAAAAATGCAGCGGTCTGCCTCATGAAATAAGATATTAGTCAAAGTTGACAACTCGACAGGTTGCGAATATATTTTCTGCTTTAAACAAAAATATACCTTGTATTCATACTTGGATAAAGCAGGAAATATATTCATAACCTGTCAGGTCGTCAACTTTAACGATTAATATCTCTGCCAATATCTATTCTAAATAATTACCAAAAATTAATGCATTAAATGTAGTATATTCTACAGAGATCTTTTTATTTCAATTATTTGTAAAATTAGAAATTTTTAAGATACAAATCAATGTAACTTTGCACATAAAAGTTGGAAAAGTTAAAAGGATGTGAATCTTGCAGGACCATCAAATATATTTACATCAGACACACATTATAAAATATTAATCCCAAAATGTATGATTTTCAAGATCTCACACACACATAAACAAATTACCTTAGCAATGCTATCGTCTTCGTCAGCACTGTCGTCCGCAGTGGACGGAACACGCGCGCTTAACCGACTAAAAACCGTTTTCGGTTCAACATTGGAACTACTTTGCCAGCGTCGTTTGCCTCCAGGTGGTTCATTATTCAACTCCGTTATAGTCCTTCGACGATCCTCTTGTAACAGTCGTTTTTGAGATATTCTAGAAAAGAATGAACTAAATCAAACAATATCATTCTAACAATATAAGAATACATTGATATTTAACCACATAATAAAAAGACAACGTAGCACAAAAGAAATGATACAAGTGACATAAATGTAAGATGAACAAGAGAAATATAGCACAAGTGGTATGGAAAGTAAAGATTATGAAAATACATAAGAACGCTCGTGATAGTGAAAGTTATACGTACAGTATACTGCGATGTATGTGGAAATTAATACATAATTAACATATTTCGCAACTATTGTGGTGTAATGTGAAACATTGATAATTTTTGCAAATGAAAAAAAATTAATGAAAGGTTACTGAATTGAATATAACCTAGATTGCAATGGACCGCTTTCACCATCAGGAACATCCCGGCCCAAGATTTTGCGAATGCTGCGATCGAGACCGCGTAGCTCATCACGGGCGAATTCTAACTCAGCTTCTATTCTGGCGGCTCCCCATTGCTCTTGACAATCTAATTTCCTCATTACAAACTCCTCGATCAGTGAAGACAGAAACGTAATTATTTAGCAAAAGAATCACAATAATATCGTCACGGAAACGATCTAATACGCTACGAATTTAAACACAGACATAGCGTAGCGAGTAGGTCGGCGTTCTGATATTCTGTCTGTGCCATAGATATAATAATATTTACATAGAACGTAATCCCTGGTCCACAATCTTGCTCCAAGTAATGCAAGCCTTGAGCCGTAAGAAATTAACCAATCACAGGTGAGAGTGAGGGGAATAAATGCCTGTGATTGGTTAATTTCTTAAGTCCTCGTCTACATAGAAATCGTAGTTGTAAAGGCCTGTGTCCACGATGCTAGAATTTGATCAAAGTTCTAGTTCCGAGAAATGTGTAGCCAATGAACTTGTAGTTTTTATGGAATAGCTGCAGGTTGATTGGCTACACCAGAGAGAAGCCTGAGAGATGTCACGGTCCCGTTTTTCGTGATTGGCGAATGCGATACGCCCTCTGTGGACATTGAAAACGTGGACATTGAACTACGTAGCCAATATCCACATTTTGCTAAGTGGGTAACGCAGATTT